CAAGACCTTGCGGTCTAGTGGCGAAGACGATGGTCTCCCAAGTGTTAAATCGATGGTTCGAATCCTACCATAACCGTTTTCATTATAAACTTCGTAAAAGGATAAAGTAAACTAAATATCCATGGCCATCCAGCACAAGATCTTGCGTCTAGTGGCGAGGACAATGGTCTCATAAGTGGTAAATCGATGGTTCGAATCCTACCATAACCGTTTTTCATTATGAACTTCGTAAGAACGGTAAAATAGATCAAATAAACATAGCCGTTCACCCGAAGAACTTGTGGTCTTGTGGCAAAGACTTTTTCTCCCAAGTGTTAAATCGATGTTTCGAATCCCGCCAAAACTATTTTTTATTATGAACTTCGTGAAAGGATAAAGTAGACTAAATAACCAGGGTCATCCAGCACAAGACCTTGCGGTCTAGTGGCGAAGACGATGGTCTCCCAAGTGTTAAATCGATGGTTCGAATCCTACCATAACCGTTTTCATTATGAACTTCGTAAAAGGATAAAGTAAACTAAATAACCATGGCCATCCAGCACAAGATCTTGCGTCTAGTGGCGAGGACAATGGCCTCATAAGTGGTAAATCGATGGTTCGAATCCTACCATAACCGTTTTTCATTATGAACTTCGTGAGAACGGTAAAATAGATCAAATAAACATAGCCGTTCACCCGAAGAACTTGTGGTCTTGTGGCAAAGACAATTTTCTCCCAAGTGTTAAATCGATGTTTCGAATCCTGCCAAAACTATTTTTTATAATGAACTTCGTGAAAGGATAAAGCAGACTAAATAACCAGGGTCATCCAGCACAAGACCTTACGGTCTAGTGGCGAAGACGATGGTCTCTCAAGTGTCAAATCGATGGGACGAATCCTACCATAACCGTTTTTCATTATGAACTTCGTGAAAAGGATAAAGTAAATTAAATAACCATAACCGTGCAGCACAAGACCTTGTGGCCTAGTGGCGAAGACGATTTTCTCCCAAGTGTTCGATTGTTCGAATCCTACCATAACCGTTTTTCATTATGAACTTCGTAAGAACGGTAAAATAGATGAAATAAACATAGCCGTTCACCCGAAGAACTTGTGGTCTTGTGGCAAAGACAATTTTCTCCCAAGTGTTAAATCGATGTTTCGAATCCCGCCAAAATTATTTTTTATTATGAACTTCGTGAAAGGATAAAGTAGACTAAATAACCAGGGTCATCCAGCACAAGACCTTGCGGTCTAGTGGCGAAGACGATGGTCTCCCAAGTGTTAAATCGATGGTTCGAATCCTACCATAACCGTTTTCATTATAAACTTCGTAAAAGGATAAAGTAAACTAAATATCCATGGCCATCCAGCACAAGATCTTGCGTCTAGTGGCGAGGACAATGGTCTCATAAGTGGTAAATCGATGGTTCGAATCCTACCATAACCGTTTTTTTATGAACTTCGTAAGAACGGTAAAATAGATCAAATAAACATAGCCGTTCACCCGAAGAACTTGTGGTCTTGTGGCAAAGACAATTTTCTCCCAAGTGTTAAATCGATGTTTCGAATCCCGCCAAAACTATTTTTTATTATGAACTTCGTGAAAGGATAAGTAGACTAAATAACCAGGGTCATCCAGCACAAGACCTTGCGGTCTAGTGGCGAAGACGATGGTCTCCCAAGTGTTAAATCGATGGTTCGAATCCTACCATAACCGTTTTCATTATGAACTTCGTAAAAGGATAAAGTAAACTAAATAACCATGGCCATCCAGCACAAGATCTTGCGTCTAGTGGCGAGGACAATGGCCTCATAAGTGGTAAATCGATGGTTCGAATCCTACCATAACCGTTTTTCATTATGAACTTCGTGAGAACGGTAAAATAGATCAAATAAACATAGCCGTTCACCCGAAGAACTTGTGGTCTTGTGGCAAAGACAATTTTCTCCCAAGTGTTAAATCGATGTTTCGAATCCCGCCAAAACTATTTTTTATTATGAACTTCGTGAAAGGATAAAGTAGACTAAATAACCAGGGTCATCCAGCACAAGATCTTGCATTCTAGTAGGTAAGACAATTGTCTCCCAAGTGGTAAATCGATGGTTCGAATCGTGCCATGACCTTTTTCATTATGAACTTCGTGAAAAGAATAAAGCAGATTAAATAACCATGGCCATTCAGCACAAGATCTTGTAGTCTAGTGGCTAAGACAATTGTCTCCCAAGTGCTAAATCGATGGTTCGAATCCTGACATGACCTTCTTCATTATGAACTTCGTGAAAAGAATAAAGTAAACTAAATAACCATGGCCATTCAGCAGAAGACCTTGCAGTCTAATGGCTAATACAACTGTCTTTTAAGTGGTAAATCGATGTTTCGAATCCTGCCAAAACCATTTTTTATTATGAACTTCGTAAAAGGGTAAAGTAAACTAAATTACCATGGCCGTCAAGTACAAGACCTTGTGGTCTAGTGGCGAAGACGATGGTCTCCCAAGTGTTAAATAAATGGCTCGAATCCTACCATAACCGTTTTCATTATGAACTTTCGTGAAAGGTATAAATTAAATAACCATACCGTTCAGCAAGACCTTGCAGTCTTGGTTAGACAACTGTCTCTTAAGTGGTAAATCGATGTTTCGATCCTGCTAAACTATTTTTATTATGAACTTCGTGAAAGGATAAGTAGACTAAATAACCAGGGTCATCCAGCACAGACCTTGCGGTCTAGTGGCGAAGACGATGGTTACCAAGTGTTAATCGATGGTTCGAATCGTACCATACCGTTTTCATTATGAACTTTGTGAAAGGATAAATATTAAATAACCATAACCGTTCAGCACAAGAACTTGCAGTCTAGTGCCGAAGCAATCGTCTCCCAAATAGTAAATCGATGGTTAGAATCCTGCCATGACCTTTTTCATTACGAACTTCGTGAAAAGAATAAAGTAAGTTAAATAACCATGACCGTTCAGCACAAGACCTTGCAGTCTAATGGTTAAGACAACTGTCTCTTAAGTGGTAAATCGATGTTTCGAATCCTGCTAAAACTATTTTTATTATGAACTTCGTGAAAGGATAAAGTAGACTAATACTAGGGTCATCCAGCACAAGACCTTGTGGTCTAGTGGCGAAGACGATTTTCTCCCAAGTGTTAAATCGATGGTTCGAATCGTGCCATGACCTTTTTCATTATGAACTTCGTGAAAAGAATAAAGTAGATTAAATAACCATAGCCATTCAGCACAAGATCTTGTAGTCTAGTGGCTAAGACAATTGTCTCCCAAGTGTTAAATCGATGATTCGAATCCTACCATAACCTTTTATCATTATGAACTTCGTGAAAAGAATAAAGTAAATTAAATAACCATCGCCGTTCAGCACAAGATCTTGCAGTCTAATGGCTAATACAACTGTCTCTTAAGTGGTAAATCGATGTTTCGAATCCTGCTAAAACTATTTTTATTATGAACTTCGTGAAAGGATAAAGTAGACTGAATAACTAGGGTCAGCCAGCACAAGACCATGTGGTCTAGTGGCGAAGACGATTTTCTCCCAAGTGTTAAATCGATTGTTCGAAACCTACCATAACCGTTGTTCATTATGAACTTCGTGAGAACGGTAAAATAGATCAAATAAACATAGCCGTTCACCCGAAGAACTTGTGGTCTTGTGGCAAAGGCAATTTTCTCCCAAGTGTTAAATCGATGTTTCGAATCCCGCCAAAACTATTTTTTATTATGAACTTCGTGAAAGGATAAAGTAGACTAAATAACCAGGGTCATCCAACACAAGACCTTGCGGTCTAGTGGCGAAGACGATGGTCTCCCAAGTGTTAAATCGAAGGTTCGAATCGTACCATAACCGTTTTCATTATGAACTTCGTAAAAGGATAAAGTAAACTAAATAACCATGGCCATCCAGCACAAGATCTTGCGTCTAGTGGCGAGGACAATGGTCTCATAAGTGGTAAATCGATGGTTCGAATCCTACCATAACCGTTTTTCAGTACACAGCAAAAATCATTTTCTTATCGAGAAAATATATCTTATCTTAAGAATTTTTTTCTTATGTAAAGAAAATTTTTCTTAAACCGAGAATTTTTTTTCTAACTCTAGGATATAAAATCTCGTTTAGAAAGTAATTTCTTAAAATAAGAAAGTCGTCAAGCCACAGATTTACAGATTTTAAGACAAGAAATTATATTCTTATGAATTAGAAATTTTTTTCTTATACTGAGAAAATAATTTCTTGATATAAGAAAGATTATCTTAACTTCTGAAATTCTCAATATGAGAAAATTAATCTTAAGTAATATCCCAAATATTTCTTAAAATAGGAAAGCTTGCCTTATCTGAATCTCGTTTCAAGAAAATAATTTCTTGGAATGAGAAAGATTATCTTAACTTCTGAAATTCTTAATATGAGAAAATTAATCTTGAGTATCCCAAATATTTCTTAAAATAGGAAAGCTTGCCTTATATCTGAGTCTCGTTTCAAGAAAATAATTTCTTGGAATAAGAAGATAATAAGAAAACAAGAACTTAATGGGGTATAGTAAAAAATATATATACAATAGATTATTGTTATTTACCATGAACGAATGTCCGCCTCCCTTCATAGATTATATTTAGCTAAGTCTTATGTAAACAATTTTTACAATATAGAAGCTCTTTAGAAACAAATTTCATCATGAGAGAAATGTGTCACATTTAGCCTTTCAATAGGTGTGCTTGGTTATTGAACTAAAACACCACCTTAATTCGCTACCCATGTACAATATTTTGATATACTAAAAGTAAGATTTACAATGCAAAAGTCAAAGATTGATTTTAAATTTTTTATCATGTAAAGGAGCATGGATTGCAACATAACGTCGTTTGCGCGACATATCGCGCGTGATCACGCGATCAACGAGAGAGCGCTAAAGGCATTGTGGGAAAGAAGCGCGTCCTTTTCAAATTTTCGTCGCTGTTGTGTAACGTGTCTTCACTGATCGCCGATTTTTATCGATTTTTTTCAATTCATACGTTTTAATATGGATCAAGAAACGACAAGTTTGCTCGAACAAATCGCTAGAGTGGTCAAAGAATGCGAGCAGATATTGGAAGGTATTAATTTTGTTGAGTATTGCTACAATTTAATAGTATTTAACCGAATGTACTCTATTAAATTCGTTACGAACTAAACTCAAAATTCTGCTACTAGTAAAATGATTATCATTTTACGAATAGTAAATATCGCACGCTTAAGACTGACTTATAATTAGCTTAATCGTATTTTAGTATGTTGTTATTTGTGTTTTTATACTCAGATGCTGTTACATGTAAACGTTTATAATTTATCAGATATTTGTGCTGTGTGACCTGGGGTCTGGTATCTAGACTCTTCTCTCCCACACATATTGCAATTGAAAAGTGGTACACCCTGGTAAATATTTCAATTTTTATAGGAACTGGCATTGTAGAAGATGAAGAAAGATATAGATATACTCTATTTTACTGGAAATGGAAATGAAAACAAGCCTTTGAAAGTAAGACTATTTTTAAGATGCATGTTTTTTACCATTGTAATGTTAACTAAAACATTAATTATTTTTTATTGCCCTGATTTTTAATGCATTATAAAGAAATACTTTTTCTCTTGTTGCATGGTATTTGACAAACTATATGATTATGGCCTACATTGCAATCAACCTATATGTTGCCAGATTTTTGCCAGTTAGTTGTTGTTAGATATGTTGCAAGTTTTGAAATTATATACATTAAAATTCTATTTGTCACAATCACAATATATCAATAGCATAACCATCTCCCAAACATCCAGAAGGCTTGTCGTAACATGATACATCTCCTAAAGAAGATTTCTGTGATATTTCCTGACAAAAGTCCTCAAAATTTAGGGTAATTAGTTAGTCCATGAATTAACTGCATGTAAATCTATACAGAGGTATTAAGCAATATAACTTGTATAATACTCACAAATGGCTTTCAGGCATAATTTATAATGTGAACTTAAATTGTTAATATGAGCATTCATTTTGTTTGTACTTTATATATAGGTCGACAGTGAAGATCCAAAGCATTTTGGGGAAAATTAGTTCGAAATCTTCCAATCATCCTGATTGACCAGGAAGGTATTTACATTGTTATTGAAAAACATATTTTGATATGGGCAGTAGTTGAAAGATAGCTGATGCAGTTGTTGCCTTCCTGGCTTCATTCAATTTGTTGGACATTGACTATCCAAAACATCATGAATAGAATTGCCAGTCCTGCAAGTTATAATTTTCAAAGACTCTCAAGTGCCACAGGACATCAGTTTAGCTTGTATAAGCATGTTAATGTCATATAAAGAAGTATGTTGAACTTTTGTTAAGTAAATTATTGATGTATATTATTACTCATATTATAAAAGCATATATTAATAGGATTTTCAGCTATTTTTAATGGTCAAAATTGTCTCATTTGAAGTTTTTATTCTCAAAACAAGGATGTTTTTCTTGAAATAAATTTTTTTTCTTATATGTAAAAAGTATTTTCTTATTTCAGGTGTAATTTTATCTAACTTAGACATTATAATTTCTTATGAAAGATGTTTTCTTAAAACAAGAAAATAGGTTTTGAGAAAAATTTTCTCATTCTGAAAAAAATTCTTGCTGAGAAAATATTTCTTGCTATTCTCCCACTTTCTTAAAACAAGAATATTTTTCTTAATATAAGTAAATATTTCTCAAATTAAGTTAATTTTTCTTAAAAAATAGTTACTATATTTCTTGTTTTAAGATTATTTTTCTCCAAAATTTCTTGTTTTAAGAAAACATTTTTTTCTTAGAACAAGAAAATATTTTCTTGATATGTTTTCTTAGCGAGAAATTATTTCTTGCTATTCTCCCATGAAAATTTTTCTCATTTCAAGATAAAATATCTTGAAATGAGTTTTTTTTTCTCAAAATAAGAAAGCGACTTTTTGCTGTGTTTGAACTTCGTGGAAAGGGTAAAGTAAACTAAATAACCATAGCCATCCTACACAAGACCTTGTGGTCTAGTGGCGAAGACGATGGTCTCCCAAGTGTTAAATCGATGGTTCAAATCCTACCATAACCGTTTTCATTATGAACTTCGTGAAAAGGATAAAGTAAATTAAATAACCATAACTGTTCAGCAGAAGACCTTGTGGTCTAGTGGCGAAAACAATGGTCTCCCAAGTGTTAAATCGATGGTTCGAATATTACGATAACAGTTTTTCATTATGAACTTCTTGAAAACGATAAAGTAGATAAAATAAACATAGCCGTTCCCCCGAAGAACTTGTGGTCTAGTGACTAAGAAAATTTTCTCCCAAGTGTTAAATCGATGTTTCGGATCCTGCCAAAACCATTTTTTATTATGAACTTCGTGAAAGGATAAAGTAAACTAAATAACCATGGTCATCCAGCACAAGACCTTGCGGTCTAGTGGTGAAGACGATGGTCTCCCAAGTGTTAAATCGATGGGACGAATCCTACCATAACCGTTTTTCATTATGAACTTCGTGAAAAGGATAAAGTAAATTAAATAACCATAACCGTGCAGCACAAGACCTTGTGGCCTAGTGGCGAAGACAATGGTCTCCCAAGTGTTAAATCGATGTTTCGAATCCTGCCAAAAGCTTTCTTTTTTTTATTATGAACTTCGTAAAAGGAGAAAGTAAACTAAATAACCATGGCCATCCAGCACAAGACCTTGTAGTCGAGTGGCAAGGAGGATGGTCTCCCAAGTGGTAAATCGATGGTTCGAATCCAACCATAACTGTTTTTCATTATGAACTTCGTGAAAGGAATAAAGTAAATTAAATAACCATGGCTGTTCAGCACAAGATCTTGCATTCTAGTGGCTAAGTCAATTGTCTCCCAAGTGTTAAATCGATGATTCGAATCCTACCATAACCTTTTTTCATTATGAACTTCGTGAAAAGGATAAAGCAATTAACCATAACCGCTCAGCAAAATATCTTGCAGCCTACTGGCGAAGACAATCGTCTCCCAAGTAGTAAATCGATGGTTAGAATCCTGCCATGACTTTTTCATTATGAACTTCGTGAAAAGAATAAAGTAAATTAAATAACCATCGCAATTCAGCAAAAGACCTTGCAGTCTAATGGCTAATACAACTGTCTTTTAAGTGGTAAATCGATGTTTCGAATCCTGCCAAAACCATTTTTTTTATGAACTTCGTAAAAGGGTAAAGTAAACTAAATTACCATGGCCGTCAAGTACAAGACCTTGTGGTCTAGTGGCGAAGACGATGGTCTCCCAAGTGTTAAATAAATGGCTCGAATCCTACCATAACCGTTTTCATTATGAACTTCGTGAAAAGGATAAATAATTAAATAACCATAACCGTTCAGCACAAGACCTTGCAGTCTAATGGTTAAGACAACTGTCTCTTAAGTGGTAAATCGATGTTTCGAATCCTGCTAAACTATTTTTATTATTAACTTCGTGAAGGATAAAGTAGACTAAATAACAAGGGTCATCCAGCACAGACCTTGCGGTCTAGTGGCGAAGACGATGGTCTCCCAAGTGTTAAATCGATGGTTCGAATCGTACCATAACCGTTTTCATTATGAACTTCGTAAACGGATAAAGTAACTATAACCATGGCCATCCAGCACAAGATCTTGCGTCTAGTGGCGAGGACAATGGCCTCATAAGTGGTAAATCGATGGTTCGAATCCTACCATAACCGTTTTTCATTATGAACTTCGTGAGACGGTAAAATAGATCAAATAAACATAGCCGTTCACCCGAAGAACTTGTGGTCTTGTGGCAAAGACAATTTTCTCCCAAGTGTTAAATCGATGTTTCGAATCCCGCCAAAACTATTTTTTATTATGAACTTCGTGAAAGGATAGTAGACTAAATAACCAGGGTCATCCAGCACAAGATCTGGTGGTCTAGTGGCGAAAACAATGGTCTCCCAAGTGTTAAATCGATGGTTCGAACCCTACCTTAACGTTTTCTCATTATGAACTTCGTGAAAACGATAAAGTAGATCAAATAAACATAGCCGTTCCCCCGAAGAACTTGTGGTCTAGTGGCTAAGAAAATTTTCCCCCAAGTGTTAAATCGATGTTTCGGATCCTGCCAAAACCATTTTTTATTATGAACTTCGTGAAAGGATAAAGTAAACTAAATAACCATGGTCATCCAGCACAAGACCTTGCGGTCTAGAGGCGAAGATGATGGTCTCCCAAGTCTTAAATCGATGGTTCGAATCCTACCATAACCGTTTTCATTATGAACTTCGTTTAAAGGATAAAGTAAATTAAATAACCATAACCGTTAAGCACAAGATCTTGCTGTCTAGTGGCGAGGGCGATGGTCTCCCAAGTGGTAAATCGATGGCTCGAATCCTACCATAACTGTTTTTCATTATGAACTTCGTGGAAAGGGTAAAGTAAACTAAATAACCATGGTCATCCAGCACAAGACCTTGCGGTCTAGAGGCGAAGACGATGGTCTCCCAAGTGTTAAATCGATGGTTCGAATCGTACCATAACCGTTTTCATTATGAACTTCGTAAAAGGATAAAGTAAACTAAATAACCATGGCCATCTAGCACAAGATCTTGCAGTCTAGTAGCGAGGACAATGGTCTCAGAAGTGGTAAATCGATGGTTCGAATCCTACCATAACCATTTTTTATTATGAGCTTCGTGAAAGGATAAAGTAAACTAAATAACCATGGTCATCCAGCGCAAGACCTTGCGGTCTAGAGGCGAAGACGATGGTCTCCCAAGTGTTAAATCGATGGTTCGAATCCTACCTTAACCGTTTTCATTATGAACTTCGTTAAAAGGATAAATAAATTAAATGACCATTACCGTTCAGCACAAGATCTTGCTGTCTAGTGGCGAGGGAGATGGTCTCCTAAGTGGTAAATCGATGGTTCGAATCCTACCCCCTTTTTCATTATGAACTTCGTTAAAACAGTAAAGTAGATCAATAAACATAGCCGTTCACCCAAAGAACTTGTGGTCAAGTGGCTAAGACAATTTTCTCCCAAGTGTTAAATCGATGTTTCGAATCCTGCCAAAACTATTTTTTATTATTCGTGAAAGGATAAAGTAGACTAAATACCCAGGGTCATTCAGCACAAGACCTTGCGGTCTAGTGGCGAAGACGATGGTCTCCCAAGTGTTAAATCGATGGGTCGAATCCTGCCAAAAGCTTTTTTTATTATGAACTTCGTAAAAGGATAAAGTAAACTAAATAACCATGGCCATCCAGCACAAGACCTTGTAGTCGAGTGGCGAGGAGGATGGTCTCCCAAGTGGTAAATCGATGGTGCGAATCCTACCATAACCGTTTTTCATTATGAACTTCGTGAAAAGGATAAAGTAAATTAAATAACCATAACCGTTCAGCACAAGACCTTGTGGTCTAGTGGCGAAAACAATGGTCTCCGAAGTGTTAAATCGATGGTTCGAATCCTACCATAACCGTTTTTCTTTATGAACTTTGTGAAACGGATAAAGTAAATTAAATGACCATGGGCGTTCAGCTCCAGATCTTGTAGTCTATGTGATATATATATTGAATATTTAATTAGGCTGTAAGGTATAAATATGCATGCGTAATTAGCAGCGTTGTTGGCTTGCTGGATGATGCTGTAACATAGAATAAAACAGAGAATAAAACATTTTATGAAGACTAGATCAATCGGTATCAATCCGTATCAGAGACAAGGCATATACACTACAATTGGGCTCACTGAGGAGAAAGTCAGGGCTGTGGTGAATGCTACGGAGCCGAAAACAGCCTCTGAAGTTCGGAGTTTTCTTGGTCTGGTAAATTTCTGTAGTCTGTTCATTCCAGATTTAGCTATAACGGCTGAACCCCTGCGGAAGTTAACCAGGACAACGACACCTTTTGTTTGTGGTAATGAAGAGAATAAGGTGTTTCAAGAGCTTAAGAATACGATGTCTACCGCTGATTCATTGGCTTTTTTTATAAGATGCAGAAACGTCGATAATCTCAGATGCTAGTCCTGTTGGTCTTGTGCAGTGCTTGTGCAAAAGCAACAAAATGTAATGAAGGTTGTGGCATATGCTAGTAGATGTCTTTCTGACATGGAAAGGCGGTATTCTCAGACGCAGAAAGAAGCATTAAGTATAGTATGGGCTTG